GAGAGAGAGAGAGAGAGAGAGAGAGAGAGAGAGAGAGAAAGAGAGAGAGAGAGAAGAAAAGACTGTCTTCCTGGTGCTAGAGAGATAGCTCAGCAATTAAGAGCGCCTAAGTTGAGTTCCCCGCAACCACATGGTGGCTCACAACAATCTGTAATGATCACAACCTCTTCTGGCGTGCAGACATACATGCAGATAGAGTACTCATACACATAAAATAAAAAATCTTTTAAAAGTGTTTTTTGGTTTTTTACTTTTTTGAGACAGGGTTTCTTTGTGTAACAGCGCTGGCTGTTCTGGTCTGTACTTGCTTTGTAGACAAGGCTGGCCTCAATTTCACAGAGATCCACCAACCACCACCACTTGGCTACTTACCTTCTTAAAGATTTCCCTTTGTAAAAAATTGTAAGGTGTCAAGGCGGTAGTGGCACAGCACACCTTTAATCCCAGCACTCGGGAGGCAGAGGCAGGCGAATCTCTTTGAGTTTGAGACCAGTCTGGCCTACAAGAGCTAGTTCCAGGACAACTAGAACTATTACACAGGGAAACCCTGTCTCGAAAAACAAAGAAAGAAAGAAAGAAAGAAAGAAAGAAAGAAAGAAAGAAAGAAAGAAAGAAAGAAAGAAAGAAAGAAAGAAAGAAAGAAAGAAAGGAGCAAATCAAGACAACTTTAAGATACCATCTTACACCTGTCAGAATGGCTAAAATCAAAAACACCAATGATAGCCTTTGCTGGAGAGGTTGTGGAGAAAGGGGTACACTCATCCATTGCTGGTGGGAATGCAAACTTGTGCAACCATTCTGGAAAGCAGTGTGGTGGTTTCTCAGAAAATTTGGGATCAACCTACCCATGGACCCAGCAATACCACTCTTGGGAATATACCCAAGAGAGGTCTTATCATGCAACAAAAATATATGCTCTACTATGTTCATAGCAGCATTGTTTGTAATAGCCAGAACCTGGAAACAACCTAGATGCCCCTCAATTGAAGAATGGATGAAGAAAGTATGGAATATATACATATTAGAGTACTACTCAGAAGTAAAAAACAAGGACTTCTTGAAGTTTGCAGGCAAATGGATGGAAATAGAAAACACTATCCTGAGTGAGGTAAGCCAGACCCAAAAAGAGGAACATGGGATGTTCTCACTCATATTTGGTTTCTAGCCATAAATA